ATGTTGCACTCTTCTAGGGCCCAAATAATAAGTGGACAATTTAGAGTTAGCTTAAAATCTTGTGGCAGACAACTTGTTTGGAATTGTTTTTTGATATATTTACACCAGAGGCCAAGCGTTGCTGAAGCTTATCACTATGTGAAAGAAATGAATGAGTTTCAGTTATATTTGAAGTCCTCTCCAAAGCCTGTATCGTTTTTATTTCTTGGACCTCTCTCGTTGCAAAGGGAAGACAAATGATAAACCAACTTGGAGAATGGGGAGGTGTGCATCTAGTGCTTGCAAGATTCTATTCCTTTGACTTCACGGAGTTTTTATAAAAGCTGTGTGTGCTGAATGTTTTCTTAGGGCTTCAAACTGATGTTGATATATTGATACATTATGCGTTCCATTCGTTTTTTATGAATGCCATCAATATTCACGACTGATGCAACCAATGAAGAGTTTAAGGGAAGAGTAAATTTTAATATTCTTGGGAACTTGGCTGAAGATCCAATTTACCCACTTTGAAGAATGGGTTATCTTTTTAGGATCTAGATTATTTATTAAAAATTTAAATTCTACATATTTCAGTAGACTTAAAATTTATGGTCCTTTAGTAGCTTATGGGTATTGGGTAAACTGACAGTGGAGGACACTTCGGCCATTGTTTGAGACCATAGGCTTATTCGTTGACTTTGTTGGAAGGGCTTTTAATTGGAATGTTGGGATTCATCACCTCAATTTCCTGTCATAAGATATTCTGGTCCCCAGGGCTGAGCTGAAGCCCAGTACATATTGCATGTACTATTGTACACACACCCCACAGACCCAGGTTTGTTAGGCCATCCATGAAGGAGTTATTTAAGTTATTCACTGGTGAATTTTTTATGCATCTTTGTCTTGGAAGTGATGTCCTAAACCTTTGTGTCATATGTGGCTTTCTTCCTGACATTTTACTCTCATCTTCCATTGCATGTGGTAGTTTCTTTTCCCGTCCTTGAATATACACCAATGTGAAAGTAAGAGTTCAACCTGTCCTCCCCACTGTCAAATAACATTCAGTGTTAAAAGCTTGTGTTCAAATTTTGTGTGAATGAGTTTGCTGCTATTAGTTAAAAGAGTTCAGGACGTTTTTACTGAGTCAGAAGCTATTTTAGTGTACTTCTAATGGATTTCAAAAGCTGGGGAAGTGCTTTGTTATCTGGGCATGGGTTTTAAGCTTGAAGCATGCTCTATGTTGTTGGAATATTGAGTTGCTGAATTTGTGCACTAAATAGGGCTCTAGGATACAATCAGTGCAGAAAATTAGAACAGAAGTAGGGAAGAAGAAATTTAGAAACCGTTGCGTCCATGGGGATACTATTTTGTACCAGTTCTCCTTTTCAAACTGCCAACATAGAGATCTGATCACTCCTACAGTGGACAACCTTGCATTTTCTCCAAATCTCATGTTATTTTCATATGCATCAATAACTATCTGTATTCTTCTACTTCCATCAGTTGCAGCTATAGAAGACTTTTATATCCTGATTGCTGATTGAAACCTGAAGAATTCCATGAGAACAGAAATATCTGCTACCAAATCGAACTATTGACTTTTAAAGATGAGAATCCCTCTGAATCCTCCTATGGAGATAATAGAATTATGTGTCAAATATAGATAATCTTTTCTTACTGGCTATTCTATGTAAACTGTTTCCTCTTGGAAAATAGTGGAGAAATGAAGTGAGTCTGGCTAGCTGGTGGTGATCTATTGTCATTCTTTACTTTTTCTTTTCATTAATTTTTTTTCAAAACTTGATTGACTTTTAGCACTTCTGATCTTAGAACAATGCTTCTTTCTACAACTTTTTTGCTAACCCGGTTCTATCTTGATAGCTGTATTAATTTATGAAATCTTGGTTAAAAGAGTGACAATTAGCACAAGGATAATCAGAAATTTATGGTACAACAGATGGTCCGGGGGCAGAATACTCGAGTTTGGGAGCAATTCTGACATAATTGTTTGATATGATTATTAGTAGAGAAATTGCAGTTTAATGAAATGTAATTCTTGAAGATAATAGCCTATGGCTTTTATATACTTATGCTACTGAACTTGTGCAGAATCAGCATGCATGATATTTCTTCACCATCTTTTCTTTTTTCTTTTTCTTTTTTTTATAGATGATCTGATTGATTCATCCAATTTCATATATCTGAACTATCTCAATGGGAAACCTGCTTGCATCTAAAAGGTGTAAAGTGTAGAAATCAGCTTGATGTCTTGTTACCTGTAATTGCAGTACATTTTCTTACATACCTTGTTGTGTATGCAAAACTAAATAAGTCAATTCAAGTTGCGTTTATGTTCTGTGAGATGTTGACCAGTTGTACGATTAAATATGCTTTGCAGTATGTCAGGTCTTTGAGTATTCCAAATGCTGAAGGTTCTGAAAGTTTGGATGAGAATATGTCAGCTAAGAAGAGGAGAATATCTGTAAGTACAGAGGAGGAACTTGGCAACAGTTTGGAGAGGAAAGATGCGGCCGAGGACTTTGGAGAACCTGGTAATAGTTTAAGTCTGGTATTTTAGTTTATACACATGCTCGTACAGATAAATTAACATGTATGACGACCTGCAAATCTACAAAAAAATTAAGAGGGTGGGGATTTGTCTGTAAGAACAGGTAATACGACTTGTAGGCATGAAAAAATAAGAACAAGTTTATTAAAACAACTAGAGCCAGAATCTAATGGAAGATTCTGAAGTTTTTTTGTCAGTGGCTGTTTGGCTTCTTTACCTTTTGGTTCTGAGCCTGAGACTCCACAACTAGAGCAAATTTTGCACCAGGGCATGTCCATGTCCTGCTTGGCATGGTTATATTTTTTATGGCTAGATTGAGTGCTGTGACCGGCTTGATTGAGAAATTCATCTTCACGGGCTTAAGAAGAGGGCAACAAGCATTGATGGTCAACTTCACTGGCCTGCTCATCCTCCTCTTTGGAGTATCTGTTGGCTTCACTGTTCTTCTTCCAAGAAGTTATTAAAGAAGTAGTCATTGGAAAATCTTGTAATGTTTGGTTATATTTATATATAGTTTGGCCCAATATTGCAGCTAGACTAAACATTTTGTTAGAGTAATGATTCCCATGTTTGTTACAAGTGTTCTGAGTATTTGAATAGTATATTTGGTCAAATAGTTCTTTTAAAACCTGCATTTTATGCATGAGATTTGTGACATTGGCATATGAACTTTATTGGGACTATTGGAGCAGGAAAATGGCCATAAGTGCAGGTTTGAAAATAAGCTACTAGCTAGTAGATCAAGTTGATGGTTTGAACAACAAAATCTTGCCCCCTTCAATCTGCAATTTGGCTATGTCAAATCAGTAAAACTGTCAAGTTAATTCTGAAAATTTCTTAAAGCTCTATAAAAATGCTGGTATACAATAATCAGTTTGTGTACTGGTCAGTGAAAACTCAGGTCTCAAAAGAGCTCAATCAGATGAACAGAACTATGCCTGTGTATCTCAATACATGACAAAAATTTATTATGTGTTTCATAGAGTTAATTGAAAAGTATGAGTATTTTTCTAGGTATTTTTGAAATCTAGGAAATATGGAGTTTTTTGTATGATACGTGAGAACGAGTCTTATATAAGTACATTACAAATGCCTGCTAACTAGGACTAAGAGAAAACAAAATGAACAAACTAATATCTTCAAATCATTTGCCCGTATTACATCCCTTCTTTCTTCAAGTATACTCTACCAGAAAAAAATCAATTCAGATTAATATCCTACCCCTATTTTTTTCCACTAATTGCCCAAATAAATTAGTGTGGATATAACAAAATGGTTGATTATTGTAGAATATAATAAGATGTTTCCACCACTTGTAAAACCTACCAAAGATATCCATATTCTAAATTTCAAATTTTTGCCTACTAAGCATTTCATCATACTAAAAGAAAAAATCACTAGGCATTTCATCATACGGAGGGTGCTATATTTGTTCATATTACTCGACAATCAAGATTAACATGATAGTTTTTTCTAGTCAATTAGATCTTTGTAGAAATTGCTATGTATTAAAAGTAGGGGAAAAAATGAGGTAAAGAACTAGTTTTGTACCATGGAAGTTCGCGTGCATTAAACATATAATTCAAAAATGTGTTTACTCAGAAATATAAAATTACCTTTGGTCATGGACAGCCGATTGAAGTTTGGGATCATTTGCCACCATTAACCTCATTTGTGCATTAGCTCAATAGATATATTGTAGAGTGAACCCAAAGGCAACTCTTCCATCAGTTTTACTTTACATGGCCTGTGGTATCTGAATCGCATGAAATGAAAAACATGTTCCAAACTGTGTTCATCGCAACCCTGTCAAGTTTCTGTGTTGTGATAATGACAAAGAATTGCTTAGAGTTATTTACTTCAAAAATCGAGGGAGGATTCAAATTCGATTTTGGAAAACATCGATCCCAGCATTAATGGCGTGTTTTCAATCACATTGCTTGGCCCTTTGGGGTAAAATCAGATGAAGATCTTACATCATGATGAAATGGAGTTTATACATTTCAAGTCCAAGAACACAAGCACCATAACAAGTATAGTTGGCCGTTGTTGCAGAAGTACTACAACAAGTACAGCTAAAACAAACGACCAAAGGAAACAACAATTTGCAACCAAAAACAAAACATATCAAACACAGGAAGAACGAAGAGAAATGCCAAAGGTGATGAAGGCAAAAACTCAAAAGACCACGTAAATGCCAAAACATGAAAAGGAATGATCATAATTTCCAAGAGGATTGAAAAAGTAGAAGCCATGAGAACTCCTTACTTTTGCGAAATCCCTTATTTTGCCATGACAACCTTCAAGTCTGGACTTTGGACTTCAAAAGGTGTTATACATCCAAACTAATTTCACTAACTGCTTCATACACTTCAAAATTAACTTAATGAAGACTGCCTTCTCTGTTTTACTTAACCAGAGCAAGTTTGATGGAGCCAACTATAAAAAACTATTTCGAGGAATTGAAGGTGATTGTAGCTATTTCATGATATGATTTGATACAAATGTAGTAAGCAGTAGAAAGGAAAAAGTAAACGAGAACTCAATGAAATAAAGGGAAAAGCTAGTAAGCAACCTGAGACTTATACAAGAGATGAGTTGACTGAATATCAATTAATGTTGAAAGCTGCAAAGAGTTGTCTCTTAGCTTCTCTTCTCTTAGAGGAACATGCCTTCCCAATGACCATCAATCCAGTGACCAGTGAAAACTTGAGGGATATGAGAAATTGTCTGATAATCTTCACTTTGTTGATCTAAATTTTGTACTTTCTGCATTAGCTCATCAGACATATCAAAGAACCCAAGAAATTGAAGTCCGGTCAAGTTTTGGATGCCTGAAGGCAACTCCTGCATCAGTTTACAACCCATTAATTGCAGATTTCTGAGAGTAGCCATTGATTCCTCTTCCACTCTCACCCATTTCAGTCTTGTTAATTGCACAAGCTCTAAGTGCTGGAGTTTTTGAAATCCTCCAACCTCGAAACACAGTGTCTCCCCTTCATAAGCACGATAGAGAGTAAGTGATACCAGATTGGGCAAATGTCCGAGGGAGCCTGTTACATTCTCATCTTCTCTCAACCTACTATTGTCCAACTGTAAGATTCTCAAGGATTGAAGTGATGTCACCCATTGCGGTACTCTCTCTAAACGCCCCTTCAACAACAGAGATGTGAGGAATCCAAGTTTTGGAGAGACGGAATGTTGGAGATCAAGGATCTCATCTTCTTTAATACAGGAGATGACCAATTCTCGAAGGTTGGTCAGCCTCAAGAGGCAGGACAGCAACTCTTTTCCATCTTCTCTTCTCAGCTTTGTGATGGCTAATCGTCGCAATTGCGTTAGCTTTCCAATCTCCCTTACTATTTTATCACTGTCTGCTTCTATACCAAACAAATCCTCCAAACAAACAAGCTTTCCAATTCCATCTGGAGATTTGCAGCCCCAAACTGCATACTCATTTGAATAATCACCCACTCCACCTAAGCAAAGACAACGGAGTTTTCTTAGATTTAGAATATCCGCAGGCAACTCTGTTACATTCGTTCCTATCAGATCTATAGCTTCAAGGTTTTGAAGCTTCCCAATAGATTTTGGAATAATTTTAACTCCAGTTCCACTGAGATTAAGATACCTGAGATGAAATAGTTTGAAGACTTGCTTTGGGATGTTGTCCAATTCAGCTCCATGCAAATCCAACACCTTTAGCAACTTGGGATCACCACTTAAGAACTCGGATAAAAATGTAGTTGTGAAAGGATCTTCATACCCAAATATTGCCACAGACCGAAGACACTTTAAGCGACTAAATTCTTGTGGATTATCAGTGAAGTTGTGGATTGCTAGGTGTCGAACTTTTGTAGGCCATCTTGTGTAATATCTGGTGGCCACAGTCGTGAAGTCCTGCTCTTTGGATTTTGAAACAATGATTTCACGCAGAAAATCATGGAGACCACATGTTTCCAATCTGCCATCGGCAAATGAGGATTTAACTTGGATTAAGCTTCTGTTGATGAGTTCTTTCATATATCTCATAGCAATATCAGTGGATGTTATTCTTTCTTTCTCTTCTACAAATCCTAGTGCAATCCATTTCAGAAGTATATCATCCACATCAATTGGATAATCTTCAGGGTAGATGCTTAGATATAATAGGCAGCTTTTAAGATAGTAAGGCAAATCATTGTAGCTAAGTAAGAGTACCCTTTTGATCCTGTCAAGCTTACCACTGCCATCTGCCTCGCCGCCAAAACCATGAAGAATCATCTCCCATTCATCTGTCTTTTCCATGTCCTTCAGAGCCAAAACAACACCTATTGCAACAATTGCAAGCGGTAGGCCCTCACATTTTTTCAATATTTTTTTAGCAACTTCTTCTAGATTTGGAGGACAGTCATTGCTCTGAAATGTTCTATTGCAAAACAGAGTCCAAGACTCTTTATCAGAAAGAGGCTCCATCTTATAGACGAAGTCAAGTGATCCTAAACAGGACGCAGAAGCTACATCAGCTATTCGTGTTGTCAACACAACACGACTAGTGATATTGCAGTCAGGCAATACACATTTGACAGCTTCCCAGGCATCTATACTCCACACATCATCAAGGACAAGAATGTACCTTCTTTCTTGGAGGAAGTCTCTGACAAATTCACTCAGCGTAAGAACATCCATGGATTCCACTTGGGGAGGGACCGGCTGTCTGATTTCGTTGTACAATTGTTGGATCAGGTTCTTGATGATGACGCTGAACTGAAAATTTCGAGAAACAGTTATCCAGGCATGGCTCTGAAATTGTTTCTTCACTGCAGCATCATCATAGACTTTTTTCACCAGGGTAGTCTTCCCGAGTCCCCCCATTCCCACAACCGAAACTACTTTCAATTAGGAATGGTCATCAAGGATTTTTTAGATGAGCTCTGCTTTTGGCTTATCAATCCCAACAAGTTGAGCTTCTTCAATGAAGAGTGATTGAGCACGAATGTCAAAATCTGCATTCACCTGACGGGAAGAGCTGAAGCCGCTTTCTTGAGTACCATATAGGGACTGGTACCTCTGATGCCTTGCTGAAATCTCTCCAACTCTGGCCTTGATGTCTTTTATCTCCAAAGAAATTTGATGGCGAGCTTTCAGATTCTTCATTGAGTTATAGATCTTTCCAACCTTGCCACAGAATCCATCCATGTAACCACGAGCAAAGCGGAAGGTAAAATCATCGAGACCATCCTCTGTATCATAAGCAACTTCTCGAACCTGCTTTAGCCATTCTTGGAGTTGAGAATCATTATTGTCTTCCTTTGCTTCAGCTTCTCTGAGGAAAGACTTCATGCTCCCGAGTTCATCTTTGATGAATTGAACATCTGATTTAAGCCCCCCCAAAAGTGTGATCTCTTGGGAAAGCAAGGTTGAGAGCTGGTTAATCAATAAACCTACGACACTCTCTGCCATAATGCTCAGTCAAATTTCTCAAGAATCAGTTTTCTTATCAAAAAAATTATGAGAGTTGTTCCAAATTTCAGAAACTATGCTGTTTTTCTTTTTCTTTCTTTCTTTTGTAGTATAGAGGATGCGGTTTATATGAGCTAGCAAATTCTAGAATTATATGAATTTGAAAGAATAGCTGTTCAAGAATGATATTAATTTGGGAACGTATGCTTTTTTTCCCTTTGTGGTATAAACAAGGAGTCTTATTTGGCATTTTGGTAGTACAAATCAAAAGTCATTGTAGTCAAAAAGTGGGATGTAAGTCTACTCAAAAGAAAAAGTATACAGAGCATAACCTAAAAAAATAGGTAAAGAATAACTATTCTCTTGGGCTAAGAAAGGCATAGAGAAAATTTTGGATTTCTTTTGATTGTTTAAATTGGAAAGGAAGGCATTTGTCATGTGGAATCTAACAATCTTCAGATAATGTTCAGCTCCCTTCTAATGTTTTCTTCATTTGCTCCAAAAAGAAATGGCTAGCTATGATTCTAAGTAAAACTAATGGATAGGAAAAAAAATATATGTTGTCCCTAAGATCCAACTTACTTTGGTATGGATGATAATCATGTAAAGGTAAAGGCCTTGATTTGTCTCTTATGCCCGAAGATCGTTCTTGAAATTGACACTTTGGTAAAACTTGCAAAGTAACATAAATTCATTATAACGAAACAAAGAAAGATTTGCCTACCTGCAACGAAAGCATATTGAGCATAACCTAAGAAATGGGCCAAGTTTATTAGAATACACATATTCTCATGCTAAGAAAGGCAATGACAAAATTTTGATTAGTTAACTTGGAAAGCAAGGTATTTGTCATAGTCAATCTAACAATATTCTTGAGAAATGTTCAACTCCGCTTCTAAGTTGTTTTTGAATGGCTTCCAAACGTGTAGCTAATATGCTAAATAAAACCGGCTGAAAAGAAAAGGTTGACATGAAAAGACGATCGACAAATTATGAGGATTTTAGCATGATAATAACCACATCATATTTCATTTCAAATGCCAATGGAGATTGGAAACTGAAATATTTGGAGTGTATTTAGTAAAACATCTATAGGCAGTTGCAGAAAAACTTGTATACAAGAACGTGCTTTTTTGCAGAAAGTCCCCCCCCCCTCCTTCTCTCTATTTCATATATAATCACATAACCATATAAATCTATATAGTTTTATATAAAATGGAAATTGAGAAGAAAATAACTCCAATCATAACAAATGACCTAAATGCGCTCCAGGAACGCGTGTCATGGGTTAGTTATGCCTGTCAATGGATTAAACCAATTTAATTTTGCCCGTCAATTATTGAAATGTTTCCTCAATTGTTCTATATTTGCCTAAAATCACAAATTTTATGGAGAAGATTTTTTTTTTTGTCAAAATATTAAGGATCGTTTTGGTGAGCAAGCTAAACATTAGGAATCAAAACTGCGTTTCTTCCTTATTTCACTATCTCTTCTTTGATTTTCTCAAAAGAATCAACCTTTTGAATTGATTTTTTAAACAATGGTAAACATACCTCTTGAACTTATTTTTTCTTTGTTTACATGCGAAGAAAGAACTTCATTTAAAAAATGGAAAGAAGAGAATATGTTTGAATAACTTCCATTCATGTCAGGCTTAAATTCTTTTCATCAATTTTTTGAACTACCAATCTCAATTACAAAGAAAATGTTTCTTCATTAAACCCTACTAAAACTTGCGTACCTATAGCCTCAAAAGTAATCGAACTAAATCTTTTTAGCAGAATCATGACTTATGATGCACAGAAAGAAACCCAATAATCAAGAACGCATGAACACATTGTAAATCCCAACTAATCAAAATCTAGTAGAGTTTTAACTACAGGTTCAATACTTACAATGCAAACAATAAGACGAACCTAAAAACAACCCTTCATATTGTGTAACAAAGTGGTGCCTATTGGAGTTCTCTTAATAGCAACAAATGAGAGAAGGAAAGTTGAAACCATTCTTTTCCAAATTTTGGAGTTTTCAAAAGGCAAATAATATTACCATTCGTGAAAAAAAAGGCCTCACACACTCTTTCTCTTCTTTTTATTGTGTAAAAAGGCAATGTAGCCCATTTATCATTGTGCCTATTTGTTAACTACTGTAATTGTCCTAAGGCTTCACAGTTGCTATAAAAGAGTTCCTTTGCCTCTTTCTTCACGACCAAAACCGTTCTTTCCCTACCATTGTACATTTTCTAGCAATGGCAAAAGATTAAAATTGCAAGGGCCTACTAGATCACATGAAACTGGAGGAAATCAATGATATTTGAAAACCACAAGTCTGGAAGAATTCTTGAATTTTGTCAATTGCTTTTATCTTCCATAGGTAATATTTTTAAAGATTGCTCTTTTTCATTATTTTGTTTGTTTTATTAGAAACATGATGTTACAAGTTTGAACATAACAATTCAATATTTTGATTAGAGATTTTTTTTTGGATAGTTTAAGTTATCAAAAATAATATATTTGCAGAAAAGAGGTCAATTTGCAATAGTATGCCAATATACTGGCTTTTTTTGGATTGCCATTCTCTGGACAAAATTTTCATGTTTTTTGGGAATATTTCCTTGATACATTTTTCAATGAACTTTTTATTTTATATATATCATATCTAAAAAAGTATTACAATATACCCTTCCAAAAAATGCAATCCAAACAATATACTTCCATGATCAATCATAGTAGTATTGCGATTAGAACCTTTTTCTTTACAATTAGAATAAAAAACTAAAAAAGAAAAATAGAACCTAGACAACAAAATCGATTATGTGACTTGACTTTCAAGATTACTTGAAATAATTCTAATCTAGGTGAAGATAACTTGTAGTATTTTGGGTAATTTTTTTCAGAGGTCAAAAGGCTGTTTGGGTACAAAGGAATATGAGTACTAAGCTATAGGTTTAAATTTAATTTCATTTAAATCAAAAGAAGGGAAGGATTTAGGCCTGTCAATTGGGCTATTTGAATCGAGGTTTAACAAACTCAAGTTCACTTTTATAGTTAGTAGTTAGTACCACTTTTGGATTTCGAATTATGAGTTTTGGATTGATAAATATGAAACTCGTACTTGACTCACAAAATATTGAGATTGTGAGTTTAATTCGGACTTAACTCAAACTCACTTATAACTCCTTAATTTCCATAATGTAATTACTATAATTATTAAGTTTTAAACTAATTTAATATCCATAGGACCACAACATTAAAACTATACAAGAATCGGTAACAACTCATTAAAAAGTATATAAACCAAGAATTTTGCAACAATAATATATCCAATTAATTCAATGTACATGGAAAATAGAAATAAAACATGATCAATAGTTAATATATCTTCAAAGGTCCTCAATTTGCTCATACTAAGATTTATCCTTCTAAATCTTTTGACATAATTTTGTATATGTAATAGTCGTGTATATATATATATATATATATATATATATTAATATATTTTGACAAATAACTCATAAGTATTAGTATTATATAATTAGATATATAATTATATATATCAAAATATGAATATTATATACATATATATATATATGCATATTAAAGGGTCGAGCCTATATGGAGTTTGACCCTAATAAGGCCCAAACTCTGCTCACATTTAATTTGAAACTAATATTTAGATCCAATTTCAATCCAACTCAATGACAGTAAGACTCATTAGACTTTTTCTCGGAGCCGAGTTCAAACTGACTCAACTCCATTGATAGTCCTAGAAGGATTGCCCCATTGATAGTCCTAGAAGGATTGACTCAGCCCCATTAGTGGCATGAATAAATGAAGTAAAAAATAAAAAAGTTTGATTAGAATTGCTAGTACCAATTTAAGACAATTGCGTTGTGATTCGCGTCTTATTTTGTCCTAATACCCTCAATATCACTATGTGAAAACTTAAGCAACTAAAATGATTAAAATTTCAATCCAAAAGTACAAAGTCAAAATTGTTAAATAACAATAATTAAATTTTGACTATTAGTCATTGTTGAGTTTTCGTCATTGTAGAATGTACCTACTACCAAAAACTTTGAGAACCAAATTTATTTTGATCAGAACATTAAAGACTAATTTAGCACTTAATCTAAAAATTGGAGACTAAAACTACAATTCTCCCTTTTTCCAAAAGAAAAATCTACACCTTTTTTTGGTTTTATTTTTGTGCACACATGTGATTTTTTTCACCTTTGATACCACATAATGGTCCAAACCGACTGACATCGGTTAATAGATTCAATTGTCAAAATGACTTTGTAAATTGTGAGGCTGGTAATATGTAGAAAAATTTTGTTTGTTAGAATTTGGGTAAAAGGATAGTGCATTTGGTAAAATTAAAGTTTGAAAATTGAAGTTTGAAGTCTGAATTCCATTAAATTAAGTTGTTGAATTGTTAAGTATTAACTCCTATTTAATAACTCAATTTAACACTTAAAGTTAATGGATTTAGATATAAACATGTTCAAACGCATTTGATAACCAAAAAATTGTACATCTGAATTAATTAAATGACACTGAATTTTCTAGGCAAAATTGGGTTCGAAAAATAAAATGACACTAAATTTCCAGGTAAAACTTGCTCCAAAAAATAGGTGATAAGTTATTCATTTATCACTTAATGTGATATACATTCAAATGTATTACATTTAGTACTTAACAATTCAATAAATTAATAGATTCAGACTTTAAATTTAATATTTCATTTTGATATACACTCAAATGTGTCACATTTAGTACTTCGCAATTTAATAGCTTATCTGATTCAGACTTCAAATTTAATATTTCAAGTTTTGCGAAAAAAATTCAATGCCACTTAGTTAATTTAGACATTCTATTTTTGGTTATCAAATACATCTGAAGATGTTCAGATCTGAATCCATTAAGTTTAAGTGTTAAATTGGATTATCAAACAAGGCCTAAATCATTTAGTATAAATCACATTTTATCAGTAAAGTAAGTGGAAGAACTAGGGTATAAATCCTCATTTGCCATACAAAAGAGGGGGCGAAATATAAATATAAATATCCTTTGCCATACAGATTGCAATTCATTAACTCAATAATACTGGGAATGAAACACCGATAGACTCAAAAGAGTGGCTGAAAAATTTGTGACAGCAAAAACAGAAGAAAAAGCAAAAGAATTGGAACTGAAAACCAAGGAGTAGCTGAAGCCCTGGGAGCAGCACTCTGTTGTGATCAACATTCCTCGTTTTGACTACAACGCCTCTTCTTCTCTCCTGAGTCATTCCCACTCCGGATTCCTCATCACCTGCCCCATCAGTAAGGCCTCTCATCCCATCTCTTCTGTCCAGAAAGTTATGTTTTTTTTGTTATTTTTGTACTTTATTGGCATTTATTTATGTAATTTGCTTCTGGGTTTTTGAAAATTTTCAATTTGATTGTTTGGGATAGTCCGGGCAGTGTGGTGATTGATAAAAATGCTTCCTTTGTTATGTAGAGAGGGAGAAAAGTGCAACAAAAGAAGCCATGTCAATTTTTGAAAAAGGTAATGAATTCTGCTGGTTTTGTCTCTTGTCAGTTCTTTGGAATAATGTCACAATAAGGAAATTTTAGACATAAAGAAAATTCATGCTGACTTCAGAATCAGGACAGTTAAATTGGTTTAGTGAACTTGGTTTTATGGGATTCTTAGATTCTGGGCAAGGTTGGGAACTTGGGGTTTTTGTAAGTGAATAAGACTGTAGCGGGCTTGAATTACCTGTGTAATGTGTTTGCAGCTGTAATTGTTTTGGTTTAAGATGAAGAGTAGCAATTTTATGGAATAGATGTTTGAATGATTAAGCATAAGTAAACAGCAAATGGGATGGCAACAAATTGATAAACTGATGAAGTTTGGAGAACTGGGTGAGCTATGCAGAAGGTAGGCACAGGCATGTTGTGTTGTTCAAATGCAATAGGTGTTGATGGGGGAAAAACAAACAAACTAAAGTTGTTTACCGTTTTAAACGTGATAACTTTTTGGAAATGAAGTGTAATCCTAATGGTCTTCATTTGTGAGAATAATGGCAAAATTATGCACGCAACATTATTTCCATCTGTTGAACTTAGTCTAGGAAAAACATTGATGATTTTTGGGTTCTAAACTTGATTAAGATTTCAGTTTGCAGACAAACAGAAGGATAAGATGTCAATTATCCTGCCGATAGGTTTTTAACATCTGAGTCTAGTAGCTGGCTTCAAATTTTTTTTCATATGCTCTTCCACTTCATCCATTTATTTGTAGCCTGTGCATTTTTGGGTCACAGATTAGTATGGTTTAGTCCTTGTTTACAAGTCTTATTCAATATGTTTTGCTTACACACTGTCATTTGTCACTTGGTTCAATCAAGTGACTGCTTAAGTCTGCTGTGCCTTCTTGAGTAAATGACATGATCCGACATCCAAAATGCAGCACTGGTTAATCACTCACAGCTTTCCAGAATATATATATATATATATATATGACTTACCAATTTCCTTGAATTTGAAGAGGCTTATGGATACATAGTAACCTTAGCTTAAGCTTGAGTACATAACTGATACAGGTTAAGCACAAATTCACCTTACTAATATGGAACCTTTGCATTGTTTTCTTTGAAAATAAATCATAAACAATAGATAGAAGATATGCAATATTTTCTGCCGTAAGAAAATTTTTTTAAATATAAAAGCAATTTAATAAGTGTATCGTTATATTTCTCTAAAGAATGACATGGTCTTAAGTGATCATATTTCTGGAAGGAGAAGACCATTAGTCCAATTTTGTTCGGCATTTGAGACATCAGATATTATATGCATGAAATATATAGCTGATTGCCAATCACCTATTTTGAGTTCTCAAGAAATAGATATATAAGCTTCAGTTTGCTTTTAATATCAAAAAGGCATTCTCCATTGCAGCAGCTTTAGATAATTGTCTTTCATTCATACCTAAAGGGACTTGTATAGGCATGAGATGTTGCACTCTTCTAGGGCCCAAATAATAAGTGGACAATTTAGAGTTAGTTTAAAATCTTGTGGCAGACAACTTGTTTGGAATTGTTTTTGGATATATTTACACCAGAGGCCAAGCGTTGCTGAGGCTTATCACTATGTGAAAGAAATGAATGAGTTTCAGTTATATTTGAAGTCCTCTCCAAAGCCTGTATCGTTTTTATTTCTTGGACCTCTCTCGTTGCAAAGGGAAGACAAATGATAAACCAACTTGGAGAATGGGGAGGTGTGCATCTAGTGCTTGCAAGATTCTATTCCTTTGACTTCACGGAGTTTTTATAAAAGCTGTGTGTGCTGAATGTTTTCTTAGGGCTTCAAACTGATGTTGATATATTGATACATTATGCGTTCCATTCGTTTTTTATGAATGCCATCAATATTCACGACTGATGCAACCAATGAAGAGTTTAAGGGAAGAGTAAATTTTAATATTCTTGGGAACTTGGCTGAAGATCCAATTTACCCACTTTGAAGAATGGGTTATCTTTTTAGGATCTAGATTATTTATTAAAAATTTAAATTCTACATATTTCAGTAGACTTAAAATTTATGGTCCTTTAGTAGCTTATGGGTATTGGGTAAACTGACAGTGGAGGACACTTCGGCCATTGTTTGAGACCATAGGCTTATTCGTTGACTTTGTTGGAAGGGCTTTTAATTGGAATGTTGGGATTCATCACCTCAATTTCCTGTCATAAGATATTCTGGTCCCCAGGGCTGAGCTGAAGCCCAGTACATATTGCATGTACTATTGTACACACACCCCACAGACCCAGGTTTGTTAGGCCATCCATGAAGGAGTTATTTAAGTTATTCACTGGTGAATTTTTTATGCATCTTTGTCTTGGAAGTGATGTCCTAAACCTTTGTGTCATATGTGGCTTTCTTCCTGACATTTTACTCTCATCTTCCATTGCATGTGGTAGTTTCTTTTCCCGTCCTTGAATATACACCAATGTGAAAGTAAGAGTTCAACCTGTCCTCCCCACTGTCAAATAACATTCAGTGTTAAAAGCTTGTGTTCAAATTTTGTGTGAATGAGTTTGCTGCTATTAGTTAAAAGAGTTCAGGACGTTTTTACTGAGTCAGAAGCTATTTTAGTGTACTTCTAATGGATTTCAAAAGCTGGGGAAGTGCTTTGTTATCTGGAAGCATGCTCTATGTTGTTGGAATATTGAGTTGCTGAATTTGTGCACTAAATAGGGCTCTAGGATACAATCAGTGCAGAAAATTAGAACAGAAGTAGGGAAGAAGAAATTTAGAAACCGTTGCGTCCATGGGGATACTATTTTGTACCAGTTCTCCTTTTCAAACTGCCAACATAGAGATCTGATACATCACTCCTACAGTGGACAACCTTGCATATTCTCCAAATCTCATGTTATTTTCATATGCATCAATAACTATCTGTATTCTTCTACTTCCATCAGTTGCAGCTATAGAAGACTTTTATATCCTGATTGCTGATTGAAACCTGAAGAATTCCATGAGAACAGAAATATCTGCTACCAAATCGAACTATTGACTTTTAAAGATGAGAATCCCTCTGAATCCTCCTATGGAGATAATAGAATTATGTGTCAAATATAGATAATCTTTTCTTACTGGCTATTCTATGTAAACTGTTTTCTCTTGGAAAATAGTGGAGAAATGAAGTGAGTCTGGCTAGCTGGTGGTGATCTATCGTCATTCTTTACTTTTTCTTTTCATTAATTTTTTTTCAAAATTTGATTGACTTTTAGCACTTCTGATCTTAGAACAATGCTTCTTTCTACAACTTTTTTGCTAACCCGGTTCTATCTTGATAGCTGTATTAATTTATGAAATCTTGGTTAAAAGAGTGACAATTAGCACAAGGATAATCAGAAATTTATTGTACAACAGATGGTCCAGGGGCAGAATTCTGACATAATTGTTTGATATGATTATTAGTAGAGAAATTGCAGTTTACTGAAATGTAATTCTTGAAGATAATAGCCTATGGCTTTTGTATACTTATGCTACTGAACTTGTGCAGAATCAGCATGCATGATATTTCTTCACCATCTTTTCTTTTTTCTTTTTCTTTTTTTTATAGATGATCTGATTGATTCATCCAATTTCATATATCTGAACTATCTTAATGGGAAACCTGCTTGCATCTAAAAGGTGTAAAGTGTAGAAATCAGCTTGGTGTCTTGTTACCTGTAATTGCAGTACATTTTCTTACATACCTTGTTGTGTATGTAAAACTAAATAAGTCAATTCAAGTTGCGTTTATGTTCTGTGAGATGTTGACCAGTTATATGGTTAAATACTCTCTGCAGTATTTCAGATCTTTAAGTGGTCTAAATGCTGAAGGTTTTGAAATTTTGGATGCGAATATGTCAGCTAAAGGGATGAGAATATCAGTAAGTACAGAGGAGGAACTTGGCAGCAGTATGGAGAGGAAAGATGCAGCCGATGACTTTGGAGAACCAGGTAACAGTTTAAGTCTGGTATTTTAGTTTATACACATGCTCGTACAGATAATGGAAATTAACATGTATAACGACCTGCAAATCTACAAAGAAAATGAAGAGGGTGGGGATTTGTCTGTAAGAACAGGTAATACGACTTGTATGCATGAAAAAATAAGAACAAGTTTATTAAAACAACTAGAGCCAGAATCTAATGGAAGATTCTGAACTTTTTTGGTCAGTGGCTGTTTGGCTTCTTTACCTTTTGGTTCTGAGCCAGAGACTCCACAACTAGACTAGAGCAAATTTTGCACCATGGCATGTCCTGCTTGGCATGGTTATTTTTTTCATGGCAATATTGACTGCTGTGACCGGCTTGATTGAGAAATTCATCTTCACGGGCTTAAGAAGGGAGCAAGAAGCATTGATAGTCAACTTCACTGGCCTGCTCATCCTCCTCTTTGGAGTATCTGTTGGCTTCATTGTTCTTCTTCCAAGAAGTTATTAAAGTAGTCGTCATTGGAAAATCTTGTAATGTTTGGTTATATATAGTTTGGCCCAATTTTGCAGCTGGACTAAAACATTGTTTAATCTTTTGGCCCAATATTGCATCTCTAGCTAGAGTAATGATTCCCATTTTTGTTACAAGTGCTCTGAGTATTTGAATAGTTTATTTGGTCAAATAGTTCTTTTAAAGCCTGCATTTTATGCATGAGATTTGTGACATTGGCATATGAACTTTTTTGGGACTATTGGAGCAGGAAAATGGCCATCATTTGTGTGTACTAGTTCTAAAAAGGGGCTCAGTTTTGGACTGAACCAAAACTCTCAGTGCAGGTTTGAAAATAAGCTACTAGCTAGTAGATCAAGTTGATGATTTGAACAACAAAATCTTGCCCCCTTCAATCTGCAATTTGGCTATGTCAAATCAGTATACTGTGAAGTTAATTCTGAAAATTTCTTAAAGCTCTACAAAAATGCTGCTATACAATAATCAGTTTATGTACTGGTCAAGGAATGGCCCATAAGCTTGAGCCTATATATCTGTGAACATTTTTCAGTACTTGAGACCAATGAGCATTAAGACCTGATTTACAATATTTTCTTTTCCTGGATCACATTCTTCTCTTTGAATTCGGCCTAGTATACAATAGTTCACATACCCTGTTTGCATTATCATCTTTAATCACAGAAAACCATCATAATTGAGGAAAATTTGAAGTGTTGATTGAAAAGCAAAGAACTATAGGGAGATTTTCACCAAAGATGCAGTTGTAACCACGTCTGCAGGCTATCACCAACAGCCAGGAGACCCCGCCACAAATTCCAAAATCAATAACATTGCCAGAAAGACATATACTTTCCACTCACAGAGTTTCTAATCTACACACAGGACTTCAAATCCATGTGTGAGCCCACGAGTTCTATAAAAGCTTGTTCATTTAATTAAACTGTAACAATACAAAATTGCATTAGACTGATCCCATAGAATTATCCCTGCCAAGAATTGCAAAATTAGAAAGTAATCAGCATCACTTCGCTCTAACATCTGTTCTGACTAAAATGGTGCTGCAAATCTACCTATAGCACACGAATTTGGGAAAGAAATTCAAGATATGAAAGCCACTCTACGGTCAGACTTCGGCCACACCAAATAGTACAACTTGTGTCTGAAATATCAGTAGCGTAACCTTTTTTCCGCATCATAGTTTGCCGATATAAACTACACATGTATGAAAGATCAGCATGAGATAAAACAAAGTTCATTACCTTTGCAACAGCAAGTGAGCTTAAGAACATATTACAACACAATTCAGGTGACTGAATGAACAGAAGAGAACCAGCTTAAAAGTTCCTGTCAATTACCAATGCCAAACGTACTAGTGCATGTTGATTACTCACAGTAAACCAGTTCATTGGCAGCTCTAACACACACAGATTTATGTGAACAAGTATACAAACTCTGAAAAAGTAAAGTGCGGTTGTAAAACGAAGCAAAGTAAAAGAATGAAAGATATGTGATTGGATCATAACCCGGGATAGATGCTAAAATCCAGATCAACTATGAAATGAAGACCAGAAATTCAGCACTACCAAGAAGAATGAAACAAAAAAACTCGCATTCACCAACCTTTCATATATAATCTGCGCAGAAGGATTTTGGGAACGTACGCTAAGAGCTGCCTTCTAAAACATAAAAAAAATCCCTCCTCCTTCATCCGGACTTGGGACCGGCTGTGTGATGTATTGTGTCAACACAGGTGGAGTTAAAAAATTTCATGTCTCTAGTGCCAAGCATGATAAGCCATCTCTTCGCGATCATAGACAAGTCACCTTGGACAATGAGTACCCCCTATGCCATTGAATGCGAGGAAAAATTGACGAATACTCCCACTCAAAAACATGTAGAGCAGACTGTATCAAATAGCAATAATTGGTTAATTCCCAGTCTTCAGCATGTGTGAGGGATGAAATGTCATCTAGCCTAGTAAAGGAAATTTGTTCGAGCATAACAATTTGATATGAATTCAACACTAATTGGCCCATATGACAATTATATTAAAGAAAGATGGCGTGCTCACAGGAGTTGGGTTAAAAACGTCCACAAGACTCGTCTTAACTTTCCATCCACAACCAAGTTTTTTGGTTTAAAATCCCAATATACCTAAAAGTCGAAGGTCCAAGTGAGATCTAGGATTGCTCACCAGAACCAGGGCGTTAACAATGGTAACGACAGTGGTTGGCCTGCACTATAGTTGCGGTGGGGTTCCCCCCATTGTCCCTTGATGTGTGAGTGCAAGGACTTGGCTGCAGCTTGTTAATAGATTTTGTTTTTCGACTGCAAAGCTGTCCCTCTTGTGGCAATTGCAATCCCAATTTTTTTCAGAAGCACCTTTTTTTTTGTGCTATTTTGTGCTCTTTTTGCACTTATTCATTTTTAGGTCTCCTGAGAATCCAACTGGCTCACTCAGGAGATGTTTGGCATGGGAACCACAAGTGCACCCTCACTTATTATTTGGTATAGCGAGACTCCCGACTTGGCTTACTCTGCAATAACCGAACAGGGAACCACAACAGATACATGGCACTAACCTGCCCCTAATTGCTTTATCGCCTCACCAACTTATTAAGTATATTAAGATGTCAACTCCAATCACTAGGCGCAGACTTCAAGTTTTAACTCATACTTCTTTCAGTTTCTAAGCCAAGGTAGAAATGGAAAGAGGCCAATTAGGATTTCATTCACATCAAAAGCTACACCGTCGCATTATCACACAATTACAGGGCTAGTTGCTATACGTGCAAAGGTGTGTGAAGTAGCCTTAGACAGATTCCCAAGTATAGCTAACTTTGATGCCTGAAAGTGGAAGTACCTATCATTTTCACCTCTGCTATTTAGGCACATTTATAGGGAACTCACTTAGACACACTAATAGGAACTCAACTGATCATCAGTAGCTATTAAAATGCACACAAACAGTTAAAAAGTTAAGAACATAGCATTTATAGGCAGGCTAAATGGGGCAAAAAAGAATCAAGTGCTATTTAATTAACTAAAGGACAGATTTAATTATTGATCGTGTAGAGTATTTATGAGACATTAGAGTGGCAGATTTAAAATTATGCATTACCCTTTTTTTCTTTTGAAAACAATAACACCTCATGCATAGTTGATAGATACGTGTTAGGTAGAGCTAAGCGAATTTTCTATTTTTGGGGAAAAATAAGACATTCAATGCCTTTTTTTCATTTTTTAAATTTTTTCTTTTTTTAAAAAAAAATTCTTTCCCTACTAATAAAAAAGTAAAGGAATAAAGAAACCAAAATCCTTTAGTTTTTTGGATTTTTTTTTCAATTTTTCGTTCTTTACTTGCAAATAAAAAAGTAAAAAGGAAACCATAATCATTTTTCAATTTTTTCTTTTTTTAAAAAAATGCTTTTTCTACTAAAAAAAGTAAACAAAAAAAAGAAACCAAAATATTTTTGTGCTTTTTTGGATTTTTTGATTTTTTTGGTCTTTTTTGTTTTTGTCAATGTTTTTTGTTCTTTGCTTGCAAATAAAAAAGGAAAAAAGAAACGAAAATCTTTTTTCACTTTTTTTGATTTTTCAAGTTTTTTTAAAATTCTTTTCCTACCAAAGAAAAGTAAACGAAAAAAAAAGAAGCCAAAATATTTTTGTGCTTTTTTGGATTTTTTTTGTCTTTTTTTTCAATGTTTTTTGTTCTTTGCTTGCAAATAAAAAAGAAAAAAAAAGAGACGAAAATCTTTTTTCACTTTTTTGATTTTTCAATTTTTTTGAAAATTCTTTTCCTACCAAAGAAAAGTAAACAAAAAAAAGAAGCCAAAATATTTTTGTGCTTTTTTGGATTTTTGGATTTTTTTGTCTTTTTTTTTCAATGTTTTTTGTTCTTTGCTTGCAAATAAAAAAGAAAAAAAGAGACGAAAATCTTTTTTTCACTTTTTGATTTTTCAATTTTTTTTGAAAATTCTTTTCCTACCAAAGAAAAGTAAACGAAAAAGAAGAAGCCAAATCTTTTTTGCTTTTTTGGATTTTTTGATTTTTTCAATGTTTTTTTAGCAAATAAAAAAGAAAAAAAGGAGGAAACCAAAATCTTTTTTTCTTAATTTTTAAAAAAATTTTGTCTTTTTGGTTTTTTCATTGTTTTTTGAAATTTATGATGATTCTCTTCCTAGCTACTACTAGGCTAATTACTTAGCTAATAATCAGATAAACCAGTGAAAGAAATTGAGATTTTCAAACCTGTTGTTGCGCTTTGCCCGCCAAATCCTCAGCAACTCTGGACAGGGTCCGCAAATTCAGTTTCACGATCGTATCCACAAAGGCACACGTCTCTTCTTTCGTGTTGGCCTCGGCTGCATCAATCACGTAAGTCTCCACAACCACCGTCTCATTGCCGCCATTGGGGTGTAGGCTCATGATCGAGCGATAGTTCGACAACCGGTGGTCGCCGCCGACAATGCTGAACCCGAAGATGCGCTGATCATGATCAAGAATCTCGAGCCGCTCGATGCTATGGGAGGCTGGAAGTCCTGACGCGACATCCACACGGCGTAAGCATCCGACTTGGTTCGCCTGGCCATCTATGATTCTGCAGGATCTCACGAATGGCTTGTAGCGTTGAGGATTTTCAAAGTCGGAAACCAGAGCCCAAACGACGGAGGCAGGAGCTGCGATAGTTTGGAACAAAGTAGATGAACATTCGTTCGGCTGCAAAACAGGGTTGTGATGGCTGGAAACGGTTGTGGGAAGCTGAAAAACCATGGCTGTGGGAAGGGGCGTTGGAGGGTTGTTTATCAGTGAAAAAGATGGAAGGAGTTTCTGTGAGGAAGTTGGAAGAATCGTAACGTGTATTTATATATATAGGCGTAGGAGAAATTGCTCCAATTCCTAAGAGCAGAAAGGACTATTACCAAACTAAGGAAGGATTAGGATTATGATTTCCTATGTGAAAAAGAATTGGATATCAGGTTCAAAGACTCCTTAGACGTTAGAACTGGCGGTGGCGCAGGCTGGCTGGAGAACCATCTAAATTTGGGTTAATTGAATTACGCCATTAACTATTGGGTAAAATATAGAAATGCCCCTTGAGATCAAGTAAACACATAGAAACACCCCCTATAGTTTTTAAACATATACTCCGGTACCTCAAGGTTAGAAATTATTTTAGAAAGCGATGGGAATTGTTTGAACGGGTTTGAAATACACGCGTTTCTTTGCGAGTATTTGTACTGGAAACAAATAGATTTTTAATTGATATACCTATTATACTCTTAGAATTATAATACAAAAAAGTCCCCTGTGATTAATCAAACCTACAAAAAAAGCCCTTATGGTTTCAAATCATACAATACAATATCTCGTGATTTTGAATTAATGTGAAAATCGGCAAAAGTCATTTAAATTAATGAGTTTGAGATTCCTTGACTTGAAAAATAATTTTTTTAATTCAAAATTTTAGTTGACATACCTATTAAATACCTTAGAACTCATAAAATTTTCAAAAACAACCCAAAACTCCCAATACAACTCACCTTTATTTCTATATATAAAATAAATAAATAAAAATTCTCAAATAAAACTCACCTTATTTCTATACATAAAATAAATAAATAAAACTTCCAAATATAGCTTATGTTATTCCTATGCACAAAATAAATAAACAAATAAAAGCTACATGTAACCATAGGGGGCTTTTTCCGTAGATTGGCTTAATCACAATGGATTTTTCCGTAAGTTTACTTAATAGGATGGTTGTTAGAAGGTCTTTTATTGCTTATATATATATATATTAGGGTAATAAAACTTCCAAATATAGCTTATGTTATTCCTATGCACAAAATAAATAAATAAATAAATAAAAGCTACATGTAATCATAGGGGGCTTTTTCCGTAGATTGGCTTAATCACAATGGATTTTTCCGTAAGTTTACTTAATAGGATGGTTGTTATAAGGTCTTTTATTGCTTATATATATATATATATATATTAGGGTAATTATGTCATTTCCTCTGCCTCAACTGGTTTTGACGATTTTCGTTGCTATTTCAAATTATTTCAAACTATGAGAGGTCAAAATGTATGATTCGAAATCATAATGGACTTTTCCGTAGGTTAGCTTAACCACGAGGGACTTTTTTGTATTTTACCCTACTTTTAAAGATTGAACATTTTCATTTTTTTTCTTGTTTTGTTAGAAGCATATATGTTACAAGTTTGAACATAACAATTCAATATTTTGATTAGAGATCTTTTTTTGGGATAGTTTAAGTTATAAAAAATAATATATTTGTAGAAAAGAAGTCAATTTGCACTAGTATGCCAATATACTGGCTTTTTTGGATTGCCATTCTCTGGCCAAAAATCTCATGTTTTTTGGGAATATTTCCTTGATACATTTTTCAATGATCTTTTTACTTCATATAAATTACATCTAAAAAAGTGTTACAATATACCCTTCCAGAAAATGCAATCCAAACAATATACTTCCATGATCAATCATAGTAGTTATATTGCGATTAGGAACCTTTTTTTTGCAGTTAGAATAACAAAAACAAAAAAAGAAAAATAGAACCTAGACAACAAAATCGATTATGTGACTTGACTCTCATGATTACTTGACATAATTCTAATCAAGGTGAAGATAACTTGTAGTATTTTGGGTAATTTTTTTCAAAGGTCAAAAGGTTGTTTGGGTACAAAAGAGTATGAGTACTAAACTATAGGTTTAAATTTAATTTCATTTAAATCAAAAAAGGGAAGGATTTAGGCTTGTCATTGGGCCATGTGAAGTGAGGTTTAACAAACTCAGATTTGGCTCATATAGTTAGTACCATTTTTGTGTTTCGAATTATGAGATTTGAAGTGATAAATATGAAACTTATACTTGACTTACAAAATATTCAGATTATAAGTTTAATTTTGACTTAACTCAAGCTCACTTATAACTCCTTAACTTCCTTAATATAATTACTATAATTATTAAGTTTTAAACTAATTTGATATCTGCAGAACCACAACATTAAAACTATATAGAAACCAGTAACAGTTCATTAAAAAGTATATAATACCAAGAATTTTTCAACAATAATATATCCAATTAATTCTATGTACATAGAAAATAATAATAAAACACAATCAACAGTCAATACATCTTCAAAGGTCCTCAATTTGCTCATACTGAGATTTGTCCTACTAAATCTTTGACATAATTTTGTATATTTAATATTCCTTATGTATATATATATATATCAAAATATAAATATATTATATATAATTAATATATATGCATATTAAAGGGTCAAGCCTATATCGGGTTTGATCCTAATAAGATCCAAACTCTGCTCACATTTAATTCAGAACTAATATTTAGATCCAATTTTAACCCAACTCAATGAAAGGTCAGGCTCATTTGACTTTTTCTTGGAGCCGAGTTCAAACTGACTCGGCCCCAGGCCCCAGTAATAGTCCTAGAAGGATTGCCACAGATTTTGATGCTAATTCATTTCCCTCTCAAAATGGGTAAGAAAGGGAATTTGGGGATCAGACGATTAGAGTTGGGGCTTGCTTGGTTGGATAGGTTAATTTGGTAATTTCGGTTATGACATGTGTTTTATTAGATATTAGGAATATGTGAATTTGCCAAAACTTATATGTCTTTAAGAATTTAAATCTTTCTATTACTGCTTCTCAAAATTTTCCAAAGGGAGAAACGCAAATTTGATTCTCAATGTTTGACTTGTAGATCAAACTGGTCTCTAATGTATTAGCAAAACAAATATGGTCTCTAAATTTTCTGATTTTAACTTTACATTTTTAGTCCCTAATTTTTGAAGTTTCAATCAATATGGTCTCTTAAGTTTCTAGTTATTGTTAGGAGTTTTAAAAAGAAAAAAAAAAGGTGTGAATTGATTTAAAGATTTGACAAATGTCATCCTAAATCCCTATAAATTTCATAAAAACACTTTATATCGAGATAATAACATCGTTGAACTTAAAGAGTTTTATTGCTATTTTTTGAATAAGTTACAATCAAATGACAATATATACATAATATATAAATAAAAAAGGAAAATTCTAGTATTAATATAAAATTTATTATCTTTCATGCCAGTTCTTGCATGGTTTGTGCATATAGGCCTTAAATTGTTATAGTTAGGAATTGTTATAAAAACTAGCAATCATAGATACTAATATGAAGTGCTTTTACTCATTATGGGTTAATTATCAGTTAATTACTAATAGTATAAAACAATAATTACATATATAATACTAAATTTGAGACCAATTATACCAAAGGGAAGAAGTATATGAGACATTAGTGGCATGAATAAATGAAGTAAAAAAATAAAAAATTTTAATTAGAATTGCTAGTACCCATTTAAGACAATTGCGGTGTAATTCTTATCTTATTTTATTCTAATATCCTCAATATCACTATTGAAAACTTAAGCGACTAAAATGATTAAAATTTCAAACATTAGGGTTCAAAAGTACAAAGTAAAAAATTGTTAAATAATTTGACCACTAGTCATTATTGAGTTTTCATCATTGTTGAATGTACCTACTACCAAAAACTTTGAGAACCAAATTTATTTTGGTGGAAACATTAGAGACTAATTTAGCACATATGCTAAAAATTAGAGACTAAAACTACAATTCTCCCTTTTTCCAAAAGAAAAAATCTACACTTTTTTTTGTTTTATTTTTGTGCACACATGTGATTTTATTTTTTCACCTTTGATATCACACAACGGTCCAAACGGACTGACATCAGTTAATAGATTCAATTGTTAAAATGACTTTGTGAATTGTGAGGGTAGTAATTTGTAGAAAAATTCTATTTGGTAGAATTTGGATAAAAGAAGGGTGTGTTTGATAAAATTAAAATTTGAAAACTGAAGCTTGAAGTTCGAATTCCATTAAGTTAAGTGGTTGAATTGTTATTAGGCCCTATTTGATAATCCAATTCAACACTTAAAGTTAATGGATTTAGATATTAACATGTTCAAACGTATTTGATAACCAAAAATTGCACATCCGAATTAATTAAATGATACTAAATTTTCTAGGCAAAACTTGCTTCAAAAAATAATATGATACTGAATTTTCTAGGCAAAACTTACTCTAAAAAATAAGTGATAAGTTATTCACTTATCACTTAATGTGATATACATTTAAATGTATCACATTAGTACTTAACAATTCAATAATTTAATAGATTCATATTTCAAATTTCGGATTAAAATTTCAAATTTCAATTTTATCAAATGCACGCTAAATCCAATCTATTTGAGTGTATTTTAGAGTAAATGAATAACTTATTACTTATATTTGAGAGTAAGTTTTGTTTAGAAAATTCAACGTTACTTAATTAATTTGGGCATTCTATTTTTGGTTGTCAAATGTGTCTCAAGATGTACAGATCTGAACTTATTAAATTTAATTGCTGAATTGGGTTATCAAAGAGGGTCTAAATCATTTAGTATAAATCACATTTTATTAGTAAAGTAAGTGGAAGAACTAGGGTATAATACCTCATTTGCCATACAAAAGAGGGGGCGAAATATAAATATAAATCTCATTTGCCATACAAAAGATGATCAATAATACTGGGAATGAACACCGATAGACTCAGAAAAGAATGGCTGAAAAACTTATGACAGCAAAAACAGAAGAAAAAGCAAAAGAATTGGAAGAAGAAGCAATGAAAGTGGAACTGAAAACCAAGGAGAAGCTGAAGCCCTGGGAGCAGCACTCTGCTGTGATCACCATTCCTCGTTTTGACTACAACGCCCCTTCTTCTCTCCTCAGTCATTCCCACTCCGGATTCCTCATCACCTGCCCCATCAGTAAGGCCTCTCATCCCATCTCTTCTGTCCAGAAAGTTATGCTCTTTTTTTGTTATTTTTGTACTTTATTGGCATTTATTTATGTAATTTGCATCTGGGTTTTTGAAAATTTTCAATTTGATTGTTTGGGATAGCCTGGGCAGTGTGGTGATTGATAAAAATGCTTCCTTTGTTATATAGAGAGGGAGAAGAGTGCAACAAAAGAAGCCATGTCAATTCTTGAAAAGGTAATGAATTCTGCTGGTTTTGTCTCTTGTCAGTTCTCTGGAATAATGTCAAAATAAGGAAATTTTAGATATAAAGAAAATTCATGCTGACTTGAGAATCAGGACGGTTAAATTGGTTTAGTGAACTTGGTTTTATGGGATTCTTAAATTCTGGGCAAGTTTGGGAACTTGGGGTATTTGTAAGTGAATAAGACTGTAGCGGACTTGAATTACTGGTATAATGTGTTCGCTGCTGTAATTGTTTTGGTTTAAGATGAAGAGTAGCAATGTTACGGAATTGGTTTCTAAAGAAAGAGATGTTTGAATGATTAAGCATAAGTAAACGGCAAATGGGATGGCGACTAATTGATAAAACTGATGAAGTTTGGAGAACTGGGTGAGCCATGCAAAAGGTAGGCACAGGCATGTTGTGTTGTTCAAATGCATTAGGTATTGAGGGGGGAAAAACAAACAAACTAAAGTTGTTTACTGTTTTAACGCGATAAATTTTTGGAAATGAAGTGTAATGCTAATGGTCTTCATTTGTGAGAATAATGGCAAAATTATGCACGCAACACTGTTTCCATCTGTTGAACTTAGTCTAGGAAAAACGTTTATGATTTTTTGGTTCTAAACTTGATTAAGATTTCTGTTTGCAGACAAACAGAAGGATAAGATGTCAATTATCCTGCCAATAGGTTATTAACTTCTGAGTCTAGTAGCTGGCTTCCAATTTTTTTGCTTATGATCTTCCACTTCATCCATTTATTTGTAGCCGGTGCATTTTTAGGTCACAGATTAGTATGGTTTAGTCCTTGTTTACAAGTCTTATTCAACTTGTTTTGCTTACACTGTCATTTGTCACTTGGTTCAATCGAGTGACTGCTTAAGTCTGCTGTGCCTTCTTGAGTAAATGACATGATTCGACATCCAAAATGCAACACTGCTTAAATTCTTTATCACTCAGCTTTCCAGTATATATATATATATGAGTTACCAATTTCCTTGAATTTGAAGTTTCTTATGGATATATTAACCTTATCTTAAGCTTGAGCACATAACTCATACAGGTTAAGCACAAATTCACCTTACTAATATGGAACCTTTGAATTGTTTTCTTTGAAAATAAATCAGAAACAATAGATAGAAGATATGCAATATTTTCTGCCGTAAGAAAAAGTTTTTAAACATAAAAGCAATTTAATAAGTGCATGGTTATATTTCTCTAAAGAATGACATGGTCTTAAGTGATCATATTTCTGGAAGGAGAAGACCATTAGTCTAAATTTGTTAGGCATTTGAGACATCAGATATTATATGCATGAAATAAATAGCTGATTGCCAATCATCTATTTTGAGTTCTCAAGAAATAGATATATAAGCTTCAGTTTTGCTTTTAACATTAAAAAGGCATTCTTCATTGCAGCAGCTTTGGATAATTGTTTTTTATTCATACCTAAAGGGACTGTATAGGCATGAGATGCTGCACTCTTCTAGGGCCCAAATAATAAGTGGACAATTTAGAGTTAGCTTAAAATCTTGTGGCAGACAACTTGTTTGGAATTGTTTTTGGATATATTTACACCAGAAGCCAAGCGTTGCTGAGGCTTATCACTATGTGAAAGAAATGAATGAGTTTCAGTTGTATTTGAAGTCCTCTCCAAAGCCTGTATCATTTTTATTTCTTGGACCTCTCTTGTTGCAAAAGGAAGACAAGTAATGAACCAACTTGGAGAATGGGGAGGAGTGCATCTGGTGCTTGCAAGATTCTATTCTTTTGACTTCATGGAGTTTTTATAAAAGCTGTGTGTGCTGAATGTTTTCTTAGGGCTTCAAACTGATGTTGATATATTGACACATTATGCGTTCTATTCTTTTTTATGCATGCCATCAATATTCACGACTGATGCAACCAATGAAGAGTTTAAGGGAAGAGTAAATTTAAATATTCTTGGGAACTTGGCTGAAGATCCAATTTACCCACTTTGAAGAATGGGTAATCTTTTTAGGATCTCGAGTTATTTATTAGAAGTTTAAATTCTACATATTTCAGTAGACTTAAAATTTGTGGTGCTTTAGCAGCTTATGGGTATTTTATGTGTTATGGGTATTGGGTAAACTGACAGTGGATGACACTTCGGCTGTTGTTTGAGACCATAGGCTTATTCATTGACTTTGATGGAAGGGCTTTTAATTGAAATGTTGGGATTCGTCACCTCAATTTCCTGTCATAAGATATTCTGGTCCCCAGGGCTGAGCTGAAGCCCGGTACATATTGCATGTACTACTGTACACGCACCCACAGACCCAGTTTTGTTAGGCCATCCATGAAGGAGTTATTTAAGTTATTCATTGGTGAATTTTTTATGCATCTTTGTCTTGGAAGTGATGTCCTAATCCTTTTTGTCATATGTGGCTTTCTTCCTGACTTTTTACTCTCATCTTCCATTGCATGTGGTAGTTTCTTTTCCTGTCCTTGAATATACACCAATGAGAAAGTTAGAGTTCAACCTATCTTCCCCACTGTCAAATAACATTCAGTGTTAAAAGCTTGTGTTCAAATTTTGTATAAATGAGTTTGCTGCTTTTAAGACTATCAGTTAAAAGAGTTCAGGACATTTTTACTTATCAGCAGCCTGTGTAAGTCAGAAGCTATGTTAGTGTACTTCTAATGGATTTCAAAAGCTGGGGAAGTGCTTTGTTATCTGGGCATGGGTCTTAAGCTTGAAGCATGCTCTATATTGTTGGAATAGTGAGTTGCTGAAGTTGTGCACTAAATAGAGCTCTAGGATACAACAACTATCTGTATTCTTCTACTTCCATCAGTTGCAAGTATAGAAGACTTTTATATCCTGATTCGTGATTGAAACCTGAAGAATTCCATGAGAACAGAAATATCTGTGACCAATCGAACTATTGACTTTTAAAGATGAGAGTCCCTCTGAAGTGAGTCTCATGGAAACTTTCTTGCTGGCTATTCTATGTAAACTGTTTTCTCATGGAAACTGGTGGAGAAATGAAGTGAGTCTGGCTAGCTGGTGGTGATCTATTGTCATTCTTTACTTTTTCTTTTCATTAATTTTTTACAAAATTTGATTGACTTTTAGCACTTTTGATCTTAGAAGAATGATTCTTTCTACAACTTTTTTGCTAACCAGGTTCTATCTTGATAGCTGTGTTAGTTTATGAAATCTTGGTTAAAAGAGTGACAACTAGCACAAGGATAATCAGAAATTGATTGTACAACAGATGGTCTTGGGGCAGAATACTCAAGTTTGGGAGCAATTCTGACATAATTGTTTGATATGATTATTAGCAGAGAAATTGCAGTTTAATGAAATGTAATCCTTGAAGACAATAGCCTATGTCTTTTATATACTTATGCTACTGAAGTTGTGCAGAATCAGCATGCATGATATTTCTTCACCATCTTTTCTTTTTTTTTTTTAAATTTTTTTATTGATGATCTGATTGATTCATCCAATTTCATATATCTGAACTATCTCAATGGGAAATCTGCTTGCATCTAGAGGGTGTAAAGTGTGGAAATCAGCTTGGTGTCTTGTTACCTGCAATTGCAGTACATTTTCTTACATACCTTGTTGTGTATGTAAACTAAATAAGTTAATTCAAGTTGCGTTTATGTTCTGTGAGATGTTGACCAGTTGTACGATTAATATGCTTTGCAGTATGTCAGATCTTTGAGTATTCTAAATGCTGAAGGTTCTGAAAGTTTGGATGTGAATATGTCTGCTAAGAAGAGGAGAATATCTGTAAGTACAGAGGAGGAACTTGGCAACAGTTTGGAGAGGAAAGATGCGGCCGATGACTTTGGAGAACCTGGTAATAGTTTAAGTCTGGTATTTTAGTTTATACACGTGCTCATACAGATAATGCAAATTAACATGTATAACTACCTGCAATCTACAAAGAAAATGAAGAGGGTGCGGATTTGTCTGTAAGAACAGGTAATATGACTTGTATGCATGAAAAAATAAGAACAAGTTTATTAAAACAATATGTGACTATAAAAACAGGGAGTGAGAAGTAAATAGAAGGAGAAGAGTAAAGAAAATACCTTATGATAGCTGCATCCCTGAAACATACTTTTTTAGCCTTGGTTGACTTTGTAAAAGGCTCTAATACTGCCCATATGCTTAAACACCAACCCCCTCCCCCCCACTGAGCCTTTAGCAAAAATTTTCTGTGTACCCAGTTTGCTACAAATAGTTTATGTGAGAGGTACGTATCTGTGAAGGTTTTGGCTTCTTAGTACAAGAGTAAAGTTCAAGGCAAGATTTGGTGGATTGCAAGCAACAAAGAATTGCTGAAGAAAACTTGTGCAATTAAAATTATTAGCAGGTAGAGAATAGATGAAATGGAACTTCCCTCCCAAAAATTAATGAATGAATGAACAGAGTGTACTGTAAAAAAGTCGTACAAGAATTTGTGTTATTTCCATTGTCTATTCTTTCTTTCAACAGCCCCATATTGTTGTATGGTCTGAGAACTGGAGCAGAACAATCCATCATTCTTTTCTTTTTCACAGAAGTGATGAGAGAATCAGAAAGAGATTGTAATTTGGTACTTACAATAAAAACTTGTAGGTGTTATGGTGTCTTAATTTCCCCATTAAGGTAGATAGTGGAGCCAAATATCTTGGGACCATTCAATATTAGTTATCTATGCTATCAAAATTACAGAAATCATGTTTACAAAATAAGTAACAAAATGCACCAAGACTAGAGGACATATTGTTAACTTGAAAAGCAAACAAAATATGATTGTGCTATGTACCGATTTTTTTTTTTAACTTCTCATTTAAAGACATGTATGACCAGTATAATTGTAAATGGAGAAACTCAGGCATGTAATCAGGGATAAAGATCTATTAATGCGGTCAAGATCTCTATATTTCATGTAATCTTCCGATCATCTTATTTGGCTATAGAATCCCAGACGGATGATACCAAGCAATTTAAAGAGCAAGTCTGTTGACACACAAGACTGAAAGGAAAATAGCGGAGATGGAGGATAGAAGATAGTGATGAAAAGGGTCTGGAGTTGTGAAGGACTAAACATGCTTCACAAGTGATTTTAGTCCTATCTGCTTGTAATAAAGAACAACGTATTAAGTTAAAGAGAATACTCAGATATGCCTAATAATATTATGAATAGCTTCATTGTCAATAACCCTAGATGTAGGATGGCATGTGCTTAGACAAAAAACACAGAGGCCTTGCATTTTGCAAAAAATGATACTACTGAAGTGCAAACTTGTTTGACTACTTGATAATATACTTTTTCTTCATGCATTATTTCAAGTTTTCTAGTCGTTATTAGCTAGAGAAACAACAGTTCAAGTACCTTAGAAGCCTTAGAAATGGCTGTATTAGCATACCTTGGTAGTCTACCAAAGCCATCCTAAAGAGCCACTAGTTTGACCACCCTAGTTGCTGTGTTTATGCTTTCCGCTTCTCTACCACAAGTACCATTCTACCACCTAGATTTTGACATGCAAGTTTTCCTGTACCAGCACTCTAAACCATAACTACACCAGTGTAACTGATAAGATTGGAAAGCAAGGGATAAACAGTGTGTCAAGTACTGGATTAACTGATGAGAAAGTAATGCTGTAAGAGTAGGACTCTTTGCCCTTGAGTGTGCGTCAAGTGTGTTGGAAGGTTCAATGTCTGATCTTAAGCCAAGCTAAACACTTTTTATTGGCTCGTACTCTCGCTGTTTTGCATCTTTTGCATAACAAATCGGTACCATGGATTTTCACTACCCATAAGTCTTTTTGAAATATGGTAAATCATTCTCTCATTCTCTGTCTTTTTGCAACTTAAAGTTATTCTGGAAGTTAAACATGCACGAAAAGTTAGTGTTCAAGAAAGAATATGACTGTTTTGACGTAATCCAAACTTCTTTGAAGTATTGCAAGGACTGCAACTACTAAACATCAGGCTCTATAAAATTTTTCGTTGCTGTAATAAATGGTAACTCCTCTTGTATTCATTTAGGGGTAATACTATGCATAGAAGTGCATGAGAGAGATTGTTTGCTTTTCACCTAGATGTTACTAATAATTTCCATAGCCATTGACAATTACAAATAGTTACTTCTATTTAGTCAACCATGTAGTATTCTGAGGCAGCAACAATTAACTAATGCTTGATTTTTTCTCTATTCAACCAAAAGCATTACTCAATTCTTCCTATGCTTATCAAAAATTAAAAGTGACTCATTATCCAAGAAAATTAATGATGGAAAAAATTAAGATAAACTGAAAGCAATTAGAATGTCCTGCTATTGACCTCATAATCACCATTTTTGAGTCCTTTTATTCTAATTCAATGTCAAGAAACAAAGTAAACATCTGCATAATTTTCAATTTGGAAAGTTCATAACTCTGGGTCCTAAACTGTCATTATAAATAGAAATGCCCAATGAAATGACCTTCACTGAAGGCATTGGAAAGTTCATACCTCTGGGTCTCAACAGTCAACAGAAATATCCAATGAAATGACCTTCCCTGATGTTAGGCACCATTGAAATGCATTATTAGAAAAAAAATCTTGCCATCTTTTTTCAGTAGACCGAAATGCAATCTTCTGGATAATAAATAGCAAGTCTAACAATTACTTCAGCTTACTGACATTGGTATGAGAAACTTCTGTAGTCTTCCTTGCTGTTTCTTTAAGTTCAAAAGAAGTTTGAAAAATTTTTCCTGGATTTGGATGCATCAAGTTCTCTTTGCTTTAGTAACATGAGAAAAAAGATAAGGTTTTATGGATAAAAGAATGGAAGGAACGAGGACAAAAGGGGGAAATTCCTATAGGATCCTCACATCCCACTTACATATCATATAAAGTACAAATATTTGAAAGCACATTTGTCGTCCATAAGCTTAGAAGTTCAACTTTAGTGCAAAATTCCTCAAACTTTACAATGACTATAGTAATTCTAACTCTTTTGCTTTTACGTCTTCTGAAATAACTGACCACAACCTGTAAATGTCAGGTAAATGCACAGAAAACTCTTACTCGCTCCTTCCAGATTCAGTTAAACATAATATAAGTCACACTGAAACAAATAATACACTTTCGCTAGTCAAGTTGACCAGGAGTGGTTTACTCCTCTTCATCTTTCCTAAGGGGGAGCACCCTGCCATTGTTGATATTGTGCAAAACATCATTCAGTTGCGGGAAAGTGGGAGCCTAAAGTCAGCACAGTAAGATTCTTACTTCTTACCTTGAATGTTCTTAGCTTTATCCGGATCTCTGTACTTAAAGCTTGTTTTATTAGCAAGAGATTGTAAGGCATGCATTACAAAATTTGTTTTAAATAGTTGTTACATATATTTTGATTTTGGGGGATATTTTGACAAATCCTTCTTATGTTTGCTCTTTTTCCTCTATGTCAATTGACGTCTTCTAATTGGTATGGGGTTTGTGGTAACATGGTTATATTGTTCGAGAAAAAGTGCTTATTTGATGGCAAGAGAACCAAGTGAAAATGTGGTAAAAATGTAAAAGAAATAACAAAGTGGAGATATTGCTAGAAGGTTATGGTAGTAAACGAACATACAAGAAGTTCACAGCAATTTCTGGTATATTGTTGTTGCAGCATCAAATCTACTATCTTAAGAAGCTTTAAAATAAAATATAAATAATATATCATAGGGGAAAGTCACAGATGCAGTTTTCAAGGGTTGCTTCAAATGCACGTTTTTCTTATTTCTTCTTTTACTTGCAATATTCCCAGATTAATTTCAGCATAGAGTATGGTGTTTTGCTTTCAAAATTACTTGCTGTTGTATTAGACTTATTTGCTTTCTGATATTGCCGGCTGAAAGTCTTTAGACTGAGGTCCTTGGAGGATACAAATGCATCATTGCAATGAAGTTAGGCAGCAGGTAACCAAAAAATGGTTGCAGCATTCTAAATCAGCCTTTTTCCCCTACCAAACCCTGATTGATGAGGCTAGATGAAGTCTCTAATTTTTCATTTTTTTAAGGCAAAGAATCTTGTGCATTGGACAGCCAACCCCTCTCTCTCTCCACCACCTCCATTCCCAGTAGAAGGGTGATCATACATTACATCATATACGGAAAACAAAATTATTGTGAAGGTGTTGACTTTGCTGGTGATTTCTGTTTAAATTATTATTGATTTTCTTTTCACAATCCGCTGTTTCCAAGGACCATTTCTTCTTGTTTGGCAACAATTTATCTTTTGGGATCCAACTGTCTGGCTTGTTGTACTACATTTTTGCAGAGTTTTTTTTTGTTTTGACAAAAGCATTAGTCATTTAGGTATATCTAAACTTCAGATCCATAGTTTGATTAAGAACGGGAAAACAAAGATTCAACAAAAGATAAAAGCCATGAATCTAAAGAGAAAGCAGGAAAAGTTAGACAGTATGTGCTTGTTTAAATGGATTTGATATTATAACATATGAGCTTACAGCATTTTGAGTCACTCTATTTGATATCTGCTTTCCATATTAAGCTATTCTAGGATTATCAAGGAAATTGCTTGTTGGTCTCAGTCTCTTGCAGTAGCATTTTATTACCGGAGTCCCATATGATGCTTAATTTTCAAAGGTTAGTAGTGATATCTTGCCAGGGAATTACATAATGCTAAACATTAGGACTCCATTTTGTGCAAAGAATTCAAGTTCTGATTGTCAACATATTTTTTCCTTTTAATGTTGTTTCTTCGATTGGATGGTGAGTTTCTTTGTAGGTGGAGAAATTTGTTGTCAACATGCATAAACAACTGACTCAACGTTACATCTCAAGAAAACCACTCTCTGATTTGGCTCCACCTATCCTCTTTTGCAGTCTATTATAGCATAGTTAGCACATTCATTTGCTATTGGAGTTTATCTTCTGCAAGCTTCCTCTTGATAAGCAAAAACATGTTACAGAAACCTATGGAAATTTTATGGCTTTCTTTGTTTCTATAAGTTCATGTTGTCTGATAGTTGATGCATTACTCAGAAGAGTTTGTATGGCTATACATTTGTAATTCTTTCTCACAATACATGAGAGCAGTAGATAGTGTACCCAGCAAAACATGAGCCTCATCAGAATCGTAAACTTATTACAAAGCAACTGCATGCTAGAAAAAAGTTCTGGCAAAGAAAGAGAAAATTAGTGTTAGGTTGGGGGGGGGGGGCGGATGGGCTTTATTTCTTTTGCCATACTCAACTGTTCTCTGCATGAAAACTCTCCCATAGCCTTTCTTGGGATCAAAGAGGAAAGTAAAAGGAGAGAATAAAGAAAATAGTGCCCAAAGCAGGCAAAAAACATAAAAGGAAAAAAAAAAAGAAGAAGAAACAGACACAGGAGATAGTACATAGGACTAATCAATGTAGTGTTATTCCCAAACTAATTGTCTTCCATAAGAGTGTACATTCTCACACAGAGCACTCACACAAAGAGAGCTACACGTTTGACTTTCTTTGTGATAGCCCATTCTTTTACCTCGCATTCAAACAGACACAGAAGAGATAGTACATAGGACTAATCAATGTAGTGGTGGTATTCCCAAACTAATTGTCTTCCATAAGAGTGTACATTCTCACACAGAGCACTCACACAAAGAGAGCTCATTTGAGGACTTTCTTTGTGATAGCCCATTCTTTTACCTCGCATAGAAACAGACACAGAAGATATAGTACATAGGACTATTCAATGTAGGTGGTAACTTTCTTTGTGATAGCCAATTCTTTTACCTGGCATTTATTTGGTTCTCTGTTCATTCAACATTTACTTTTTTCAGAATATCTTTGGTTGTGATGCATTTGGTTATTAATTGCATCTTTAATCATCTGATGCAGATGGTGCCACCGTATATTCCCTATCCAAGCCACTTGTAGGTTAGATGAGAAGGAAGTACACTCTATAGTGTCAAAGCTAGTCAATCAGTTTCTGAAAGATAAAAAGAACAAAGTTACGCAGCCAGTAAAGGTACGCCCTGAAGTTTATTTTTGTGCAGGTTGATCATTAATTCTGTTGCATGAGCATCTGCAATTTCTAAGATGTTGGGGCCATGGGGAAGGGGGTGGTGGAATAGGCATATGAGTGCCTATGAGAGAGATCTTTCACTTTATGCTGTATAATTGTCTGTGGTCTCATGACTATCCAGTTTGCAGTTGGGTACAATAGAAGAGGAATTGAGGAAACTGAGATGAAGGATGTGAGAGTGACTTCAAATGGTTCCAAAATATCTGCTCTCTTAGACCGTGGCAAATGTTTTAGCATTGTGGCAGCTGCTGTTAAAGATGCTGTTCCAGATTCAATTGTAGATCTGAAGTGCCCTGAGGTAAAAGCTAAAATACCAGCATAAAGAAACATAATTCCTTTACTTTTCCTGGCTGTTGTAGTTTCATGTGCTTATTCTATCAACCTTTTTGCAGCTTGCTGTGCTGCTTGAGGTTCTGCCACTCTCTGGGATTCCTAATGAGAGTGTGGTGGTTGGTGTGTCAGTTCTTCCACAAATGCTTTTTAGTTCAAAACCACGTCTGTGTGTCAAGGCATTGGTAAAAGGATGCTAGGTCCAATGCTGGGAAGAGAGGTTAATGATGATAACCTTGTTTGTGATGATAATCTCCACAAGCAAAGGTGAAGTGAGCATTCTGTGTTACTCAGAAAGATGGTGATGCGTTTGCTACTGCAAAAATTAATGCGATGACGGATCAAAATGTATAGCTACTTGAAGATGGATAGTGCATATCCCAGCAACTCAAGCTTCCCTGTAAACAGACCATCCCACGGAAACATAAAAGAGAGTAGCTCTTTTCTTGCTAATTGCTCTTAACTGGAAACTCCTGGTGGTTATACTTGGATATAATCAGGATGCTCTAATATAGCTAACTGTTGGGAGCTATGATACAATTAACATAAATTGTATTAGTTATGTTAGCACGTTGTTGGAGAATCGGGTAACAGTGATCAAGGTATCTTTGTTAAATTAGAATAAGGATTCAGTTAGAACAAATTTTCAATTCGCTGCTCTATCAGCGATAGATGTTCCTTGCCAGCTGCTCATCCTAGCATACAAGTTCTTGCTGCTGAAACCATGATGTTAGCACATAAGAAATATTCACTATCATATTCATATAGGTCTTTGTTCAGGTAGGAGAATGAGATGAATCAGAAATTTTGGTCTTTCCTTTGTGAGAGCCTGCCACTCGAGAGGCCTCGAAACGATCGAAGCTTTCTGGTAAATACTGCATGCTCTTCATTCGTGCGTCCTTCCTTCTATTCTGTGTGGATTGTCTCGACATTCACCTCTATCCACCTCTCTTCTCCGAGCCATTTGAACAGACAAACAGAGAAGTTATATGGACAATGGTTTAATCATTCTTACAGTTGGAGTTAGTTCATTAACCAGCGTTTAACTGTCTGAAGTAAACTTCTTTTCATTCTAGTGATTTGATCCTGAAAAAATGATAAATCCTTTAATCATTTCGTTTAGTGGAATAGCTCCACCACGTAAATTAGTGAATGATATATTGTGATTCAGCTAAACTTAGACCAGAAGTGAATCTAGTTTAGTATGGATGAACTAAGCATGAGCAGTTCCCACTTTGGAGTTGTCAAAAAAGTGAAAGAAATGTCTAACGAGGACTACTTGTTAATGAGCATTTAGGAGGGGTATCTAGAGTAATTGGGGGAAGATAAGCAAAAGAATTAACTCAATGACCTTAATTAGAATTAACTATATCTGCACTTTTTTTTTCATTCTACATCTACTCCTACTCTACACTAAGAGAAAGGGGTGGATCCAAAAAAGTCAAAGCGAAATACGGAGGAAATTGAATCACTATTGGACCAAATCAATGCCTATGCACGCGATGGTGAAATTTTCAAAAAAAATCCTGAACAAAAATGCAAGTCAAGAGATTTGATTCCTTAACTTGCATCCAAGGAAAGCTATCCAAAGGGGTCAAAGTGGTATCCGGAGGAGATTGAACCCTCCACCATCGGATCAAACGGGTACCTATGCACATACTGGTGAAATTTTTAGAAAATCCTGAACAAAAATACAAACCAAGGGATTCAATCCTTTAACCTACACCCAAAGAAAGCTTCTCTCCCTGATATGACCAACTACTCTAGGAGTATTTGATTAGCTTATATCTACATGGGCCGGTACCATTTTCTGGACTAAATATTGGTATTACCAAAAACTAAAGATCACAGAAAAATCTAGAATTTGACTAGAAACTAGATTTGGAACTTGTACATTTTCAATTCAAATCAGAATCAACATATTAAACGTATCTTCCCCATAAATGTTAAGTGGCCTTTAAGAAATTTTTATTAGGCGTGATCAAAGACAAAAATGGGGGTAGTTCAAGATCGAGTTTTACCTACTCCAAACCTTACACTGCTAGAATTGACAATCTAGCAATGCCTGCTGGATATCAACCGCCTAAGTTTCAACAGTTCGATGGGAAAGGCAGTCCAAAACAACATGTGGCCCATTTTGTCGAAACCTGCAATAACGCTGGAACCTATGGTGACCTGCTAGTCAAACAGTTCGTCCGATCCTTGAAGGGCAACGCGTTTGATTGGTACACTGATCTCACTCCGGGGTCCATCGACAGTTGGGAACAGTTGGAACAAGAGTTCTTGAATCGCTTCTACAGCACTAGAAGAACCGTCAGTATGCTGGAGTTGACTAACACTCGTCAATGGAAGGATGAACCTGTGGTCAACTACATTGATAGGTGGAGAAGTCTGAGTCTCAACTGCAAGGACAGACTGTCTGAACCCTCTGCCATAGAAATGTGCATTCGAGGAATGCATTGGAGCCTAAGTTACATTTTGCAGGGTATACGCCCAAACACATTTGAAGAATTAGCTACTCGTGCTCATGACATGGAGTTAAGCATCACGGCCAATGCAACTGATGGGCTTCCTATTCAAATTCCGCGAGTACAGCCACGGCAAAACAATGAAAGACAAGAAAATAGAAAAGGGGGCAAGCCTCCTTCAAGATTCAATAATAAGGAGTCCATGGCAATAAACACAGCTCCCATGAAAATTGCTACCAAAGTGAGTCGAAAGATCACTGAGAAATTAGATTCCTCCCAAATAGATCAGTAAGAAGACCCACTTTAAAAGAGATGCAAGAAAGGAGTACCCTTTCCTTGTCCGATTACAAGGAATGTTTGATGATCTTTTCAAGGAGAAGCTCCTTGAACTTCCCGACATGAAGGTCCGAGGAAGCCGTCAAGTCAATGATCCGAATTATTGCTGTTATCACGCTTGATTGGTCACCCTCTCACTAAATGCTTTGTCTTTAAGGACAAAATTATGGAATTAGCCCGCAAGGAAAAATCCTTCTTGAGGAGGATAAAGCATCGGCAAACCAAACAACAATAATGTTTGGATCTGTGTGTTGTCCGATAGAAGTTTATCCACAACAAGCAGCGCTTTGTCCAAGGAGTTTGAAAAATCCTCAATTGAAAATGTTATTGAAGATGACAATGAAGGATGGACTTTAGTCACTCGAAGAGACTTGCAAGCCAAAATAAAGAAGTACATCTTTTCGAAAAGCATTCATTCGACAAAGCCAAAGTACGATGAAACGAAAATGCAACAAAGAAACAAAAGAGAGTGGCCACAAAACCAATTCCTTCAGATTTTCAGCTCCTTCAAGAGGTTCGAGCCCGTGACACTGAGAGAATTTATACCCAAGGGGTATTTAAGTGACGATACCGAATTTCACTTCTTGTAATGTCGTCAAAGCTGAAAATCCTCAAGTCACACAAATTGGCACTGAATTTGAGAAAAAACTCAAAGTCGATGATAAACCACCGGTGGATTGTGCAACGACCATCATTTTTGATGATGATGATTTAACTGTTGAGTTCAACCCACAATCGACCTTTGTTTGTTAGTGCATATGTTCGAGAACAAAAGATGAATCGGATACTCATTGATGGGGGATCTGCTGTCAATATCATGTCCGTACGTGCTATGAAAGAGTTAGGAATCTCAAGTGATGAACTCTCCCAGAGCCGCCTCATGATCCAAGGATTTAACAAGGGGGCAAAGAGCAATTGGCCTCATAAGGCTTGAATTGCTCATTGGTGAGTTGTCTTCAAGTGCGTTATTTCATATCATTGAAGCCAAAACCTCTTATAACATGCTCTTGGGAAGACCCTGGATTCACGAGAATGAAATTATATCTCTACTCTGCATCAATGTTTCAAATATTGTCGAGACGGTATTGTTAAGAAAGTTACTGCCGATGACAAACCTTTCACGGAAGCCGAAACTCACTTTGCCGATGCCAAATTTTATCTTCACAAAGAAGCAAAAAGAAAGGAATCGGTAAGGGAAGAAAGTCAAGATTCCAAAGTACCCATTTTGCGGTATACTCCAAGATCAAAGAGAGAAGAAGGTCAGTCTTCTTTTATCAGAAATGACACATTAAATGTTCCGCTCACCAAGATAGAGCCTGTTAAAATTGAGAAGGTGAGCTTGCAAGGGTTTGTTCGTCCCAAAGAAGAACCGGCAGTGGAACATTACTCGCTACCAACTAATCGGACTCAAGAAGGTTTTGATCCAAACGCCTATAGACTTCTTGCTAAGGCGGGTTATAACCCAAATGAGAAGAATACATTGGGCAAACTCCCTCCTGAAGTGACTGGCGAGAGGACTCACGGATTGACACCTACGCAGAAAATGTTGAAAGAAAGGGCTATAATGTTGAAAGTTCATCGATGGGTCTTGGTTATCAACCGCCCTCTCCTGTTCGTATAATGATCAAAAGAGCGAGTTGTAACTATGTGAACGAAGAAATGGAGGTCACAAGCCGAAAGAGATCTGTGTTCGACCGATTGGGAAATAAGTCAAAACGTACTTCTGTGTTTGACAGACTTGGCCCGCAGCCGAAAAATCTGAAGTCGCCCGTCTATGAGAGATTAGGCAGTAAGAAACAAGAGTACCAAGTTGCCAGGGAAGAAAGTCTTACTCCAATAAAGAAGAACAGACCAAGAAAGCGAGTCTCCAATTTCTTCATGCACTATGGAGACTTATTCAATGTAAGAATTGAAACCATTTTTGAAGAACAGGGTCAAGAAAGTACGGCTTCCTGTCACCATATTACGATCAGTGATCTTGAAGAAGAAGAAGAAGATGCAGATGACGCTCCCGCTGAACTTGAACAAGGGGTAAAAAATACGGTCGATGAGCTAAAAGAGATTAACCTTGGCACAAGCGACGATCCTCGCCCAATTTACATAAGCTCTTGTATGACTCCTGAAGAAGAAAAAGAGTATGTTGATTTGCTGCTCGAGTTCAGGGACGTCTTTGCCTGGAATTACTCAGAAATGCCTGGTTTGGATCCAAGGGTCGCCGTTCATAATTTGTCCGTCAAGCGAGGAACAAAACCTGTCAAGCAAACGCAAAGGCGCTTTCGGCCCGAATTGATTCCTCTGATAGAAAATGAGATAAATCGATTGATTGAAGCCGGATTCATACGAGAAGTAAAATATCCAACATGGATTTCAAGCATCGTCCCTGTAAGGAAGAAGAATGGGCAAATTCGAGTTTGTGTTGATTTCGAGACTTAAATGAGGCTTGCCCAAAGATGATTTTCCGCTCCCCATCACAGAATTGACGGTAGATGCTACAACCGGGCATGAAGCACTATCTTTTCTCGATGGATCGTCTGGCTACAATCAAATACGTATGGCGCCCGAGGATGAGGAGCTCACTGCCTTCCGCACCCCCAAGGGAATTTATTGCTATAAAGTAATGCCGTTTGGCTTGAAAACGCTGGAGCGACATATCAAAGGGCAATGCAAAGAATTTTTGATGATATGCTCCATAGAATGTGGAGTGCTACGTCGATGACCTTGTGGTGAAATCAAAGAAGCGAGAGGATCATATTCAAGACCTTCGAAGAGTTTTCAACGCCTTCGAGATACCAACTGAAGATGAATCCTTTGAAATGCGCATTCGGAGTCACTTCTGGCAAATTTCTCGGTTTCATCGTTCATCAACGGGGAATAGAGTCGATCGATCTAAAATTGATGCCATTGTGAACATGCCTGAACCGCGAAATATTCATGAATTGAAGAGCCTTCAAGGGAAGTTGGCATATATCCGGAGGTTTA